AATTTTAATGAAATAAGCCAAAGACCCTTCCTGCTTTCATTATCTTAGCCCAATGGGGGAGAGAGGATGACAGCGGTTCCTGCTCTGACAGTCCATATGGCTAATATTGCCTAGTTCAGGAATTCATTCGCAATTTATTTTTCATCACAGGCTGCATAGTTCAGGAAAACGCATATTGACGTTTTGAGGCAAAGTATAGGAAAAATCATGCAGAATCAGCGATTTGAAGATTTGATTTTTTACATAAAACGTAAAAAGTAATTTAAAGCTTATATTTCCTCTCTACAGGTGGTTTCAGCTTAAAATACTAAATCATAACTGAAGTCTTCTCAGCACAGCGGCGTGCTGAAACTTAACAGTATACTATTAACTAGCTTACACTTTAAATAAATCTACTCGAAGTTCCAACCTAACTGCGTAGAACAGACAGAGCTCAACTAATTTATAACTTTCAGCAGCCGTGTTAGTGTCTGTTCTAATCGTGGCTTTGTGTCTGTAAGAAAACAACAAAACGCCAAAAACGAAATCTTTGCTACCATTATAATTATGATTGAAGTTCTTTTCATTTTAAACTCTGCTGTTTGCCATAAGAACAGTATAGCCCTCTGGATTGATCTAGAATGTGACGAAGCACAACATGAAAGAAAGAATCAACATATGTTTAACTTTTCTCAAATTTAAATGAGATATCATAATTTTATTCAAACTTTCAACACAGTAGATATTTTAAGTTTTGATGCCGCACATTTACTAATATTTACCAGACTCTTAAGTTGATCTAGTTACAGTGTATGCTAGCAAAGGAGAAGAGATCCTAAAACAATTTATTCTCATAACAGCCAAACAACAGCAATTATACAATTACAGGCATAACATCTAGCTCGTATGGGTAAACGCACATGATAGATTCGAAGACAATGAAACGGCTGATCATGGCCAAACAGATGGCGTGCGACATTGATCCAAGGCAATGTCATATTTCATCGCCCTTGTTCTACCTCAAACAATTTTCCTCCGAGAGTCATTAATCTGGTACCAAGAAGGGAGTCCCCCAACAAAAGTTAAAACGTCAGATTAATAAAAAAGAACAACTAATCCAAGATATTATATACGAAGCGACTTTAACATTTAACATAAAATTCTAAGTTCCAAGAAACCAAGCCCGGTATTCCGAGTAACTAAAATGTTAGCATAATCAACTAAAGAAAATAATAATCATACATCCAGCAAGGTTGCCATACAACTACATAATTTTATTTTTTTTAAATGGCTAGATTAACGACACAACAGGAAAGAAGAAAACCAAAAATAACTAAATCAAGAAAACTGTGTTACTAAAAATGATAACATAAAATAAGGAAGGAAAACACACATAAAACACACAACGAAAATATGACATACAGTCACACATATCATCAAACACGACGAAAAAGAAATCCTAAAATAAACACTTTGAAAATAAAACGAACTTAGTTAAAAACCCCAATCGCATGTCTATTGCCATTAATAAAGGCCATCAATTCTCTTGCATATAATTTCAAATGTTTAAAATCAAAATTCCGGGTCGCTGGCTGCCTTCGCTTGTGGTATGAATGGGACGCCCCTTTTTGAAACATAAGATCACTTTGTGATCAGGCGGGTTGGGGCGTTCTAGCAATCCTACCAAGAAGGGAATGACAGCGATAAAGGACGTTGCGATCATTAGTTCATTCCAAACGCCTCCATTGATCGTCACACCTCCATCCCACAGCTCGTGCGTTTCATCACTGGCCAGGACCTTTTCCCAACTTATTTCCAAATGTATGGTAACACCAATAATGGTGACTGAGTTTTCAGTCAAAAGCCTGACCATTACATGCTCAGTTGTTCTCTTACCATCTCTTTCAATCTATAACTACCTTCAAACAACCCAAACAAAACCGGCAGCATACAAATGTGGCGAAATAATAATCCATTATTATTTCTGTGGCGTTGAACTATTCTTACCATTAGATTTGTTTAAGATGAATTTTAGAGTTTGAGCCAACGTGAGCAATAGTTTACCTGTGAAGCGTTGGGCTAAACTTGACTTCATTTAATTTTAAGTTATTCAATACGTTTTGAGTTTAACCAAAATTGTTGGCTTTTGGAAACAGGAGATGATGCCATCTGTAAACTTTACTTGTGTTTATAAAGGGTTCTTTACACCCTTCTCCTGAATACGTCGCATTTTAAGACTTGGGAATTATCCTCTAAACAGTCTTCTAACGTCGAGTTCAGTTTATGATAGCGAAGTACACAAGACGTTATAACTTTACTTATACAGGAACTGTTTGAATATTTTTCATCACGTTATAAAATATTTATAGATTACATGCGAACAAGATCTTTGTGTTGTAACACGATTCGGTTAATATATCCAGGTACGTCTTCAAGATGCGGATAAATAAAGAAATTATATCGAGAATTGTTGTTATGCAAACTCAACAAATTGCACTCATGCTCAGACAAAAGGCTGGCAAAGAATGAAAGAATTAGATGAGTTACTTAATATTTGTAGAAACACTATGAAAATACATTCATAAAACGCTATGACAAAAGAGTAATATTCAGATATGCCTGCAAAATATTTAGACGGTAAATATTGTGCACAAAAGTTAAAGTACTTTTTTCCCTCTCATAAGACTCACAAGGAAATATGATGAGAAATAGTTGAAGGAAGAAACCAGTAACTTGGTAAGATACTGTTCATGGCACGCACGTGTGTACAAACAAAAATCATATAACTAGAGACGAACTTATGGGGTTGGAAAAGTAACAATCCTCATCTTCTGAGGTAAGTCTCTTCACACTTCTTAAATTGGTGAGTGTGTAAACCCTTTATAAAATCAAGAAATAAAATGCGCAAAGCAAATAAAATACCGAATGTGCATGATGCCAAGAAATTATGCAGTCAAATGTAATAAAAATATATTTACGTACGTGAAACAGGTTAATGTTTCGATTTAGGAGTGAAAAATAATGTATGCATATATCCTCTACCATTTGCTCTTCAACACTGCACTCTGTCAATGAATTTCGTAATCGCTTTTCACATGTCTGCCCATCGAGGTGGCTAATCACACGTTCAGTTTCCTCAGAATTGTTTTGCCGTTTCTGTTTAAATTTGTTTTTTTTTCCGGTGGGGAGGACTTGCAATAACAGTGTGACACAAAAAGAGCAGTTTTTTCAACATACATGGTAGCTAATATCTACTGTCAAAGATGCATCCTCAAGTTTCATTAGATGCACTTTCAAAGACTGCACGGAAATTCATGACTAATAACACCAGATACTAAAATGTTTGGCTTCCCGAAGAAGAACTTACAGGTGTGTGTGTGTGTGTGTGATTATGGCAAAGCCTCGAGGGCTATCTGCCTAAGGGGAGGGATGCCTTCGTGGAGGACTTTCTAAGGGAAACTGGCTCGTATACACGTTACACATGGGGAATACCACGAAAACGCCCATGCAGCCAGCCCATTCGCGGGATTCGAACCTCGGACCGAACTACCAGTGTTCAGCGACTTTACCGCTCGGCCGCTGGTGGGCCGAAGAACTTACAGGATTTAGCATTTCCTTATAATAACGATGTTTTGTCTTTTGACTCTGTCTGTGAGATAAATCCTTAGAGAAATGCGAAAAATGTAACAGAATTAATTACTAATTTAAGTATACATCGAGTTGATAATTGTTTGATGGTGATGATGACAGCAATGTCACATGAATCCTACGATGATGTCAGCAATATATTTGACGCACTTACAAAAATGTGTTTCAAACATCAGTTGGTGTTTTGACGCTAGAAAATAGAATAAAGAAATTCAATTATGCTATTTTATGATGTGATGTGAACTCTTAAGCGTTTTGATATTTCGTAGGCTCATTATGAAAATCTTACCCCCAAGTTTTATAATGGTAAAGTAGAAAATAATAACCATGTAATAAAGTCAAATAAGAAAACGTTTTATTTTACTTTTGCTAGTTAATGAAATAATTGCTTCTGTATTTTGTTTCAAGATGGTCTTAATTATCTAGATTATGCTTGTGTATCCGTTCCTGCAGTTTAGGCTATTAGTTAACTATCATGCATAATTCTGTAAAATCCACATTAATATATATATACACATATATATGTATGTATATATACGTCAGTATGTATATTGAGTGTTTCTCGTTGTATATGCAAACTGTTTATTAACTGATAAATTTTGTTTATTAATTAGATTTCGTAATTTGTCTTGTAACAGATTATTTGCTGTTTGTGAAAGATATACAATTTGACAATTAAAATGAAAAATATGCTATTTTTTAAAAGAAAAGAAATTTATTGAATTTTATCCATATAATCTTTCTTCATTAAAAGTTCAGAAAAACAATTTTCCATTGATTTTCCATATAAAATTATAGTTTCTTCTTTTTCTGAATTGGCAATATTTTAATAAATCTGATTTAAATATTTCTTCATTCCTCGTTTCATACAGCACACCAGAATTTCCTGAAAAGCATTCTTTTGTATTAAATCATGTAAAATTTGCGAATGAATTGAATCCTAAATACAAAGTGCTATTAATTCACATAAATTCACAAACCGAATATTTTTCAATTTTGAAATTCATAAATATAAAACATAGCAGAGCTACTTCATATACCTGCAGTTTTTGGTAAAAAGAAATTGTTCATATTAAATTAAGCTTTATTTATTAAAATTTTATTTCTTATCTTTTTTAATATATATAAGAATCTAATTTAAATATTAACGCTTTCAGGAATTAACTGGTTCAAATGATATTAATTTCAGTAAATAACGGAAATCAAACCAGCCAGGTAGTTTACGTCTACAAATGGGATCAGACATCTGACATCAGACAATACTAACAAATACATTAGTTGAAATAAAATTGTTAACGAAATGTAAAGCAGCATTATATATATGTATATATTTATATATATACAAATACAAACATATTACGAGACACACAACATCAAAACAATAAAATGTTTATTTCTGAATTAGATAATAGAATGAGAAACAAGACATCTTACACTACCTAATCTACAATGATAAACAATAAGGAGATAATACTTCCCAAGTTAATTTGGAAGCAAGTTATTAAGGTAAAATTTTAGTGATTATTGTAAAAGATTTTTATGTGTACCACTAACCTATAAATGTGCAGTTCGTGAGTTGAATGATATCTTATTTTTGCTATGGATTTCAAAAATGTGTTTTGATCAAAGTAATCAAATATTGATAAAGCTGAATGTATGACAAATAAATTAAGTAACATATTATATAACATCTTTCTCTCGTTTGAGTTTATGGAGTTTTATGGACTTAAGATATTTCCAGTCATATATGTTCTAGAAATTAGTCAAGTTTCCTAATTAGGACTTTTGTAATTTCGTATTCTTACAGTTCCATTTGAAAAATTAATCATCAAGGAAAAGGAATATTTTTAAAAAATTACTGAACGAAATCACGTTACTGAACTACCACTATGAAAATATTCGGATTTAAAAGGTACTGAAAAAATCCTTTATTATTAAAGCAATGGCAAATCAAAAATATATTGATTAAAAAAAGAAATAAATAATAACATTGAATAATTTCGCTGATTAGTAAAAAGTCTAAATATATTGTTCATCTTCTTATAAACTTGCAGAATTTAAAACAATCTAACATCGTTATTGAGATTTTCACTTGAAATTAAAAATCATGTGTTATATGAAGATGAAAGTTTTTAAAAACGTATTTCAAAACCTGTCTTGAAAGACAGAAGTACATTTAATTTACTCTGAAACCAAAATTTAAAATGCAGTTTCTTTTATCAATTTATATCTAACTGATCGATATTTTGGGAAGTTCGTATAACTTAGCTACATAATTCTAACTGCAAACAGTATATTCAAACCATCGATCACGAAATAATTTTTAAATGATGTCATTATATATATGTAACAGCACTCGGTAATATGACCAGTGTATTTACTCAAAACATCATACGTAAATACGGCCTTGGCTCATAGTACGATTTTTATGTTTACAAAAATGTTGACACTTTCAAATGTACAAAGGTAATAAATATAATAATGCAAGTGAAGAGTACTTGGCAATAAGAATATTAAATATAAATTTAATAAAATATACCATTCTTCTGTTAAAAAGAGCACCCTTTAACGTAAGTCCTTCATTTTCACTTTGTAAATACAAATAGATATACAATCATTCAATTTGATAGAATGCAGTTCTCTGAAGTTTTATTTCGTTTCTAACATCCTTACTGCCAAGTACCAGAGTTATATAAATTGTAATATACGTGAGAAACTGCTAACTGACAAAACACTCACAATGAAAATTCTCGCTTACAATATTACACTGAAAATTTACCCTTAAGAAGAATGTGCATGGACTCTCCAGCGAATCAGCGCATGTATCGTAGTTGGTGCATGGTATATGAAGACATTTGATTTCTATAACAAGCTCAGACCTGTTCACACTGGTGAGTTCTGTGAGCAGGTAACATTTTAGTGGACACAAATCCCGTGCCAGTACCACAGAATGGAAATGCATTGTTTTGTCTTACTGTCACTCCATTGACGAGGATGTTTCCCGTTCCACAGCTCAAATTGGTTGACAATGTTTTATTGCTTGGCCCAGTGCTGCTCTGATGACTACTGTTGTGAGTCAGAACAGAATGACTCATGCTAAATGTTCTTCCGTGAAGTGTCTGAACTGAACAAAGTCTGTTGTAAATTTCCTTGAAATTCGGCCTGTGGGAAGGAGAATCATGCCAGCAATCATTCATGACGGCGTATACATAGGGTGGACAATACTCTGGTCTAGGTAGAAGTTGGTGAGTGCAGACAAGGTCAATAACCTCCTGATTGTCACAGTTAAAATAGGGCCTAATGCCATAACTGAATATCTCCCAGAGTAGGACGCCATACGACCAAACATCACTTTCTGTCGTGAAAGTGCCATACAGGAGGGATTCGGGTGCCATCCAACGAACTGGTAAAAGCGTGTTCCTGATCCGAAAGTACTCAGATGCACAGCTATTTCGGCTGACGCCAAGATCTGATATCTTCACGAGAATGTTGTCCATAAGGGAAGTTGTATTCAAACCAGCATTCAGGCAAGTCTGGGATAAGCTCGTAGGGGTTGTTTCAACTGACACAAGACAGTTTCGGGCAGCTAAGTCTCGATGGACATAACGTTTACTTGATAAATATTCCATCCCTTAAATTAAATGCAATAAAAATGAGATTACTTATCAAAAACAATAAAATAATTTTTAGAGAGCAGGCGTCTACTTTAACCTACATTTTATTTACAAAATATATTTTATTGAAGTATTTTTGTAACGATTTTAACATGTAAATGGCATGGATTTAATAAACAGCACATTCTAACTGAAACATAAAAATAAATATCAGTATTTAGTAAAAGAATATATGACTATTTTAATACTATTCTTACTAACACAATTAGAAATAATTTAAAATATACTTTTCAGTAATTAGTAATTTAAATTTATATATGAAATTTAAATTGAAATCATTATGTGAAGATTTAATTGAAGCAATTATTTGTTTTAATTCCTTCAGTTAGAAAATAAGCGCTTAAATATTATTCAAAAAATATATGGCTATAGTTATTATGTTTTAAAATCATAATTTATTTTCGATATTGATAAAATTCAAAAATTGTACCAGTACATTTCAAGATACTAATTTTAGATGCATTAAATAACATCATAGTTCTAAAGTGATCATGAAAATTTATCGCTTTCATAATGTAGTCATAGTATTTATAATATTATTTGTGAAAGGAATACTTATAAGGGGATTTAGTTCCATATTTTGGCCCTATGTCTTACGAGTATTAATCATAGCCGGTAGAATATAACTAAATAAACAGCTGAATTAAATATTCCCATAAAATATTGAATGATTAATATTTTAATTATGTCCCTAATATGGAAACAAAAGATTATATCTTAATTTATTAACAGACTAATACCTGAAACACGATGTTTAGACAGGCTGTAGGATTTTCTTAATGCGAATTAGCTTCATCATTTTAGGCGAGATATTAAAGGGAATTATTGTAAGGCCTCTTAACATGTTTTCGGAAAGAGTAAGTATTTATACATTTACATTTGTTTTACCTTTTAAGCTTAGAATCTCTTTAATTTATTCACACTGGTGTGTTTTCCGGGGACATTATTATTAATAGATACATCAGTATTGGAAATATTTTAATACATATCTTATTTTAAATTTTTAGATAGAGAACTTCACAGTTTCCGTATATTTACGTAATTTATCCAATTTGCATACATAAAGCGGATTATCTCATATTACTTATCAAGAACTTCTGTACAAAGGCATTAAGAATTAATAAAACGCATCTATGTAAAGATATTAACATTTTCTATTCACAAAATGTTACGTTTATTTTTAATGTTGCGTAAAAGACGTTGTGTTTATTCCGGAATGAATATTGAATATCTTAAGTACAGGATGCAACAAATTAAGTTTGACCATTATGGGCTTACGAAATTCAAAATATCTTCTTTTTAAAAATATAGATACAGCTGGAGCATACGGTTTTTAAGCTTAAATTTTAACATAATTAATTGCTCAATTTTTTTATTTCCTAAATTACATAAGCTTCAAGTTGTACAACCAGAAATATGACTGGTAATATTTGACTGTGTCCTGCATTACTTCTTCCCTCCACGAAGCTACTCCACGATGCTATTTGTTAAAAAAATTGTTTAATCTCGCAGCCGATCTAAGAAAAAATTCTTCTGGATACTACACCTTTTTAACATCTTAGAATTCCATTGGATAGTTAAATGTAAAGCTTCCTACTCTGATCACTAGATCTCTCAATTATACATTATTATTAGAGCACTACTACGCACAATTACCTTTTGCGATAGCGAAAACATCACGCTTATGCATATAATCCACATTACTGGAGTCTTTAAAAACAATCTTAGTAGTACTCATAAACCCCTTAGTATAAAGTTGTCCAACAATAAGGGAATATAAATTCATTGTTGCACGTGTACTTAGTTGGTTGCGTTTTGAAACGAGATCAGCATTTTCCATAGTCTGACATTATCTGTGATGGTAAAAGATATATCATATTTTTAATCAAAATTATGTTCACGCAATAAAATGGAACTGAACTGAATTTAAAGTTCAAGAGCGTCACAATAAAACAATATAATAAAAATCACTATATCTAAAACTTAAAACAAATGTACGTATTTTTCAGAAAAGCTTCTCTTCTCTACAAAGGAATTATGTAAGTGTTTACAAAGATAGACTTTTAATTTAGATGTTAGTTAAAATACCAAAATAAAATTCACACAAATAAATCCATATTCTATTTCATTTTAAATGACAGATTTTCATTCAAGGCTGCAAGAAAAGATAAGAAAACAGGCTGCAAGGAAAGATAAGAACAAATAAACAATATATATTGGACAACGGATATGTATCTGATCATACTTACCAGACGCAATTTGCATAGCTATCGCTAGAAAATCTGACAGTTCTAATATTTGAGGTGTTCCATCGTCGCTCCTAGCAGAGACATCTGAATGAGGTGAGTGCACCAGTAGAAATTCATGTAAATCACATTGGAACATATACTCGAAAAGCATACAAAGTGGTTCCTCTCTTATACAAACAGCTACGAGACACACGATATTTGGATGCTGCAAAACTGCAACTGTTTCAACTTCTCTGCAAAAGTCTTGCCGTGTCTGAGTTGATGCTCCCTCCTTCAAGGTTTTGATGGCCACTGGCGACACAATAGTTGTGCCAGAAGCGGATCTGGGATGGTGCATTTCGCCCCTGAAAATTAAACTGCATTAACACAGACCCCACACAAAACTTCAGTCCCAAAACTAAAATAAGTTTCATCTTTTAAATTAAAATTTACACTTAATTGTTGCTTCAAAGCCTCAGTAACATTAAAATAAGTCTCATTAAAATAAAATTACAGCAATACCAGCGCAAGATTTTAACGTTCAGAAATTTCAACTAAATATGGATTTGTACTTTTTTTTTGCTAATCTTAATCGTTACATTCTTGTGAGCTCTGGTCTCTAATCGCTTTGCATTAGATGTATGTCATTTTCTCTTTTTAGTTGTTGATATTCTTTATATTTTTAAGAATAGTCAACCTTGCCATTCGTGAATTGCATCTTGAATTGCATTCGTGAGTACCTAATGTACTTCTGTTTCCATAATCTAAATAGGCTTCTCTGTACTCCAATCTTGAATCACTCATAATAATTATAATACGATTGCTATTGCTCAATCATCAAGGAGCTGGCAATTCTGCTGCCACAAATAATAATAACAGTAATCTTCAGCGATTCCAAAGTCGCTAAGGATTATTTTGACTATTATATGTAGTACGCTCCGCAAATCATTCAAACTGGGGCATATTCGCATGAAAAATTTAAAATTTTCGAATAAATACTATGTTAGTGAGAAATAAAATATGGGTACCTCATGCATCAAAAACATTTTTGTAGTAACTGCATTAGCCTGAAAAATTTTCAATTATTTTCCGAACTTTTATGAAAGTTAAGAGTTAAATATATGATCAATAACCCACATTTTGCCAAAAATCGAAGAAATTAAATTTTTTGTTGGAAAGTTCTAATTTTGTCTTATAAATAAGTAAGAAATTTAATAAATTGATACACTTGAGAAATTTTTAATCTCTTTGAGTCTACAGGCTGCCCTATACATAGGACGATAGTCAAATCCAGTACCATGAAGCTACAAGGCTTTATTTTCTTTCAAGCGCTTTCCTTTGAATGAAATGGTAAAACAAAAACTTGAACATAAGCCAATATTGCATTTTTTACAAATACTTGTCTGTCTCCTAAAACAAGTTTTTAATTGACTACGGTGCTGACGTCCATCGGGGATTTTGACACGCATGTGATCAGTTTGCATTTTCAAGAAGTCCGGATTTCCTTGCTGCACACCTAATTTTCTGCCATGGATTTTACTCGTACTGATAATCCCAAACAGCTGACTGTTATACCAGTCGATATTCTAGAAGATCAAGAACTTAGGTTTTGTTGAATACTTTTGTTAACTTCCAAGATGCAACTAGTGCAGTTTCAAAAGCATTTCGTAATAGTGGCAAATACCACATTTTACCTTGTATAAGGGAAACATACGTTTTCTTTATACAAGGATTTATTTCTCAAACAGATCTACATTATCCTTGTATAAGTAATAATATATACTGGAATATCAGCTTTCAGTCTTCCACCTTTGACTTGCACCCTGTATCCTCAAAATTAGGCATTGATACTACTCTATTATCGTTTCAAAGAACCGCTGAGATTTCATTATTTGAATTGAATTTCTGATCAGGTCAGAACTGTCAGATGTTCTAGCCATAGCTATGAAAGTTGCGTCTGGTAAGTATGATCAGATACATATTTTCTTCATGGAAAGTTCATAAGATGAAAAAATATTGTCCATGTAAATTTTATATTGCACTGGACTTTTCACAATTGATAGCAAACTTTCTACTAGACAGAGGATCTTTCCGTTTTTGGTTTCCGTTTTCGAGCTTCTGTTGGTTTTTATGCTCTCACTTTCGATTCGCGTTTCATTTCCATTTGATATTTCTCTTCACAATTTTTGCTATCAGATGCACCATGTTTCTCTTCTGCCAACTTTTGAGATATAGATTGTTTTACATTTCTCTGTGCTTCTTGATACGGAATAATATGAAAGGAATAACCATCATAAGAAGTTAGTACCCACATTTTGTATCCAAATTTTACTAGTTTTCCTTTCACATACATTTTATAACCACGCCGATCAAAATAGCACACCAGTCATCTATCATTGCTTGGATGTTATGAAACTGCACCTAACTGTTCTAAAGCATCATTCGGTATAGCATAATTCGGACGTACTGTGTAATAGCGGTCCGAATCAATAGTCACTAGTATCTATTGTCACTGGAATGAATGTATGGCTTAATTTTAAAATATCTATTTCGTGGCCTTCAAACAAATAAAACGTGTGAAACGGCCTTCATTCGATTTTTTAAATATAACTCTTTAGAAAAGGGAAGGCGGAACAAGAAGTAGTTGACCGCTTCATTTTACAGCAAGGAGGTGAAATGGACCTAACAATTTCACTCGAAAGGGACGTAATATCTTAACGTCATATAATAGCGTATATTACAAATGTTATATACCCTCTAAAAAGAAGGCAAAGGAAGGATATATAATATATTTTTCTTTCTGATTTTTTGACGTTCACGATAAAGGAGACCTATCGTATTTAAAAATGAATCAACACTTTTTATTTTACTCTTTTTCCTCTTTTTTTTTTTAATGCGTTCAAACAGTGAAGTGATAAAAATCAAAATTAGTCATTTTTACATGTTTTTAAAAAACCGATTTGTAAAATTAAAAATATAAAAGAAAATGCCTAATATAACAACTAGTTTTCTAGCGATAATATAGTGTGAAAGAATAGTTGAAATATCGCTGATATTTTGTACAGCTGTCAAATATGCACTGTCCTGTGTATAGGATAATGGTAAAATATAGGATCAAACATTAAGCAAGGTATATGAGGACAAAGTGATGGGCTGAATTTCATTAAAAGAACAGAATATTTTGATAACAAAATAAAAACATGCCATTAAATGTTTTGCAGCAACTAATGAATCTTGAATTCAATTTTAGAAACAGAAATCAGTCTATTCAAGAACGCAAGTTCTTCTATCTTATCCATTTAATTTTATTATGTCTCTTTAATATGTTTTGCAGCATGAAACAGTAAGTAAGATATATAGATATATTTTTATCTAAAATGTTTCGTAATATTTACCATCTGATACATTTATATTATTAAGCATTTATCTACGTGAGTAAACTGGTTTTCTAAACTCTTCAAATATAACTTGACGGAACCTCAAATCTGATTTGACGAATATCTTAATTGGAAAGATTGAATTGTTTAGCTAATAAACAATGGAAAATTTATATTTACATGATTTACATTTTATATCTACAAATACCTAATACATAACTTTCAGAGTACCTTTTAATACAAAGGTAATATAAGTTACATGCGAAGAAACCATGCGAATACTAAGCAACTAACCCTTCGAACGACGCGAATAAGACTCGGACTAAAGCAGGTATTTTAAGGTTTCATGCCATTCGATCTTTGAAGAGCCGGGAAGAAAAAGAAGAGTTATTTATTATGTGAACTTTAATTATAGTTTTGATTATGGACAGACATGTTACACGTATTAGTTATTTCAAATCAAAGGGTGCGGCCTCTGAAGTTGCAGTACGGTTACTACATACACGTCATTAAACGAAGGAACTTATATATTTTGTGTTTCATTCTCCAAAGAAATGTGTTAGCACGATCAATAGTTATTCTTAGAAAACTAGATTGGACTGAATTCTAAAAATCATGTAGTCTTACTTGGAAAAAAAACAAAACAAAAAAAACATAAAAAAATCGTTCATGATAGCAACTTATCTGTCTTTGTAAAACGTTAAATAAAAAAATGGAAATTAAAAAGAAATGAAATAAACACCATTTATTTTATTTTACCTGAAAACTTTTCCATATATTCCGTCTCCAAGTTCATGCAAGAAATGAATCGATTGAGGAGATACTTCGTGGATTCCAAGGGGAATTCTGGGAAGAAATTTCTGCATCTCGATTTGTTGGGGATGAGGATGATTGGAATTCTGGTGATGGGTAGGTATCAGTTGAGCAGAAGTACTGTGGGGCGATAACTTTGAAGAACATGTCTTCCGCCGTTGTCGCTTGCACCATAAACCCATCAAAACTGAAATAAGTATTGCAGCCACCAGGGAAGGTAAAAAAATATACAGCCATGCATACTCCGCTATAAAGAAGAATTGCTTATTTAGGAAGAGTTTAAATTAAATAGAAAATGCGTATATATATATATAGATATAGATATAGATATAGATTTAATAGATAGATAGATAATGTATAATACGAAAACTTTCCATATAACATCTCCAAGGAACACAAATTCAATTTAAAACCATGAAAGAAAACAATATTAGCCAGAATTTAAATCAGTATTTTAAATAGTAATTTCAACTTCTAGTTTAAAAGTTTTGCAAAGAAAAATCTTACATCACAAAAATACCAAAACCAAAAGTAAATTCTAAACATTAAAAAAGTAGTTATTGTCACTGATCGCAGATTAATCGACTTATCAAGGGGATAAAGCAATATATATATATGTATATAATTATGAGTAATTTAAAATTCTTAAAATTTTCTCTGAAGCAGCTAAGTAATAAAATAATAATTTATTATTAGAAGAGGTAGTTATGAATCTCCAAGCAAAAGAAATTTAACTAATGCTATAAATTATTAAAAAGAAACTTTAGTAAGTACTTTTAAGTAGCTTTCCAAATCAGTATCCAAAGTTATCTAGAAGAACACGTTTTAATGATAACTATGTTTCAAATATAAATATGAATTATTATTTTCACTGAGGTTTTTCTTATCATCTTTACTTATTAATATTTACAGAAATGCTATCAATCAGAGTGACGCTGAGCCTCAAAAACTGCTTCTATTATATATAAATATAATATATATATAATACAATAAATGAAAATAACATATAATATATAAATATATATAATACATATAAATGATTATTAGCAATATATGAAGAAACATCACAAACGAATCCATTCCACCAATAATAGAATAAGCCAGAGATTTAGCAGTAATTTTTGGTGTGTGTGTGATTATAGCAAAGCCTCGATGGCTATCTGCCTATTAGGAGGGATGCCTTCGTGGAGGACTTTCTAAGGAAACTGGCTCGTATACACGTTACACATGGGGAAAACCACGAAAACGCCCATGCAGCCAGCCCGTTCGCGGGATTCGAACCTCGGACCGAACTACCAGTGTTCGGCGATTTTACCGCTCGGCCGCTGGTGGGCCTGTAATTTTTGGTTCTTTCCACTTTGGGGGGACTGTTAATCAATAAGTAGGTAAATAAAATATTTTTTACGATGGGCTTTATTGATTTTGTTTTAGTAATGGTACATTACTAAAACTAAACCAATAAAACAGTAAAGAAATAACAATGATAATCACATTAGTTAATGAAAATATATGATTATCATTGCTATTTCTTTTGCTGGTTCTTACCTTAGATTGAAAACAAGAGGAATTCGATATCTAAGGAAAATAAATATATGCTGAGATTGTTTTCATTAACATTAAAAGAAAATCTGTGACTACCAATTAAAATATGGAAATGGGTTATCTAGAAAAGAAATAACTAAATGTTCAAAAGTGTATCTCTGTGATTATCGATCACATATCTGATGTGTAGTAGTTTTAACTAGTACTGTAAATTAGGTACTAATTCAAACTTAGATTTTCACAATCTTCAATTTTCAAGACTAGCAGTTGATTTTAATACATATAAATATTTCTCCTTCCTGCCATGATAAATTTTATTCAGAAAATTCAAGTGTTCTTTCCACTGATTTCGCAGTGGAAAGAATATCTGAAACAATACTTTTTTCAATTACAATATTTATTTTTACTAATAAAGCGATACTTTTTTCTTTTAAATAATTTATATTTCTTATATTCTTCTTTGTGTTTCCGTTTAAATCATGACTTCTGTGAACCTATGAATTCCGATAAAAAGTTTATACTGCAAAAAATTCTAAAAGTCCATAATGCAGTTTATTAGTTTACTGCATAGTAAAGACTTGTGTTATTCTAAAATTCCATAATTCAGTATATTAGTTTACTGCATAATAAAAACTTGTGTTATTCTAAAAGTCCATAATGCAGTATATTAGTTTACTGCATAGTAAAGACTGGTGTATTGTTCATAATACACTATTAGTTTTTCTATCTATTTTGGTTTACTTTATTGTAAAGATTACGTATTTTTGAATGATTTATTACTTTAACTTTTGCCTATTGTTTTCTATATCTATGCATCTTGTTTTATTTCACTGTAAATATTTTTTTATTTTAGCTGAATTCGTGTAGTACTCCTACTTGTTGTTTTCTACATTGCTGAACCTACACGGCTTTCAGTGGAACAGAATAAAAAATAAACAGCAATTATTCTCTTAAGAATATTTCTCATATAACTATAAATACTTGTTTCAGTTCTTAATGCTGATGTTCTTACTAATATTTTTCAAATGTTTTAAACTCATAATACAAGCCTGTACTTGCAGGCTTATAATATTCAAAATAATGACATAAAAGTACTTATAATGTAAAAATACATCACTATTTAAGAAGTATTTTTCTTATTTAATCTTTAAATTTCAAAAGCTTTTCAGAGAAGATACATATCTTTAAAGCTGTTACAACTCAAAACGCTGGAAAATCTGACAAATCACCTTAATTGTGTTCCCAGCTTTGGGGGAACTTATAAACTCGTTAAGGATGCCTTTCAGAAGATTACTCTAGAAATCATCTTTAGTCGATAACTGAAGTTCACGAAGCGAAACTTTAATTATGGTGAAGCGATTAGCGATCTCTTTTGTGTTTTGCATCAATCAAGAATATCGGAATCGATCTTCGTAGATTCCTGCATCAAAATTTAACCAATACTTATGACATATATATATATATATATATATGCAGTCTTTCTTTTTTCTAAATGTAATTATAGATCTCTTTTTTATACTTACGCGAGGTTGTAAAAATGTCAATATATAAATGTCATTTTTAAGGCACGTTTGTATAATGAATATTTTTATAATATATTTATCGCATTGAGATTACCTGTAATTTGACTTATGTTAGTTCAGATGTGATTTATAAAATTCAATTATGTGTACGTTAAATAAATTTGTATTAATAATAACATATGTTTGGAGAAATTGTATTTGGTTGTAAGATCCAACAAACTCCACTAAGCTGGCAAAATGCAAAATTATTAAACTGACTACATATATGTTGAACGTAGTGTTCTGTTCCCTAAACTAAATTAAGCAAAATTATACAGTACATAGCTTGAACTAAATGCTAAAAGTTTCATAGTATTGAGTTAATATTAATATATTCATTTTAAATATCTGTAGAAAAGTGTATTTAATTCAAATGTCTATAGAAAATGCATTATAAATATTATATTTTATTGCTAATGACTTATTTGCAATATAAAGGACATTTATGATTTGAGTAACAAAAAGGAAAATCTGGTTAAGTTGTGAAACAATACTGTCATTTAGTAAAATAAAATGTATTCTCAGCAACGCCAACAGTAAAGTGTTACGTTAGCATACTTTGAGTTTATAATATTAAATGTAAATGATCTGCAAAGCTAAACAATTCCATTAGGGTACCTTTCTATTGAAGCAGCTAAAATTTTACTTACCACAACGAGGGATATCACACACTTCTCTTCTGATATGAGGATCAGATATGAAGCACCAGGGCTGTGTCTCCAGACCTCCAGGATTTCGACAATAATTATGACCCCCGGAAAGTTCATCGTATTCAGCAACTGGACTCCAACTCTGGCATTGGTGAGACGAGACAGTATGTGAGACTGGACCTCTGTAATCTTCTCCCCTACCCTCGTAACAAGTTGCATCTATGAGGGAAAGTATAATCATTAGTTGTAAAACGTACCATGTATGTAGCCCATTTGTAAACTGGACTTAGCTTAGAAAAGAAGAAACAAATATTTAATTATAAAATTATTATTTACAAAAAATATATAGAAATGAAGGAAATAGAAGTAAGGCAAACAAGATAAATTTACTTGCCTTTCTCTAAGTGGACAGCAAAAGACAGCTGCCGTCTACACTACATTTGATAATGAACTGGCACTAGCATGATGAAGCCCTCAATAAGTTATTTAATTTTTTGCATATTCTGAGACTATATTAATAGTAGATTACTATGTACGCTGTAGCACGCGTACAAAAATAATTTGTTTCTTACAGCAACACGACTAATTTCTTATTCTTCTCGAATCCTAATTTCACTAAGAATTAAGCGATATGTGTTGAAAGATTAAAGCAAATGGTGCGAAAATTGTAAAAGCAGATCACAGTTTTCTCTAAAGAAACAAATGAGACAACAAAATTATTTTGGTTGCTCAATATAATCTTATTTGTTAAGACTTTTTCTATTTTTTCCGCAGAATGTTAAAAGCATATTTTATGCTTCATGTTATTATTTGATCGCATATTTCAGGCTATATTTCTACTTTATTATTCATGAAGATATAATACCGTTTCAATAGAATTCTTTGTACTTCATTAAAAACTAAATTTCATCTAAAAGCCAATTTGTTTTCGCATAGATCTAAAGCGATTAGAATATTTCACTTTGTGCTTTCTAAAACATTAAAATTGTGAAAATATATACGCTAATCCCTTACTTTATTTAGGTTTTGCTTAGCCTTAATAATAAAACAAATAATAATAAATATTTCTCATGAAACACTTTGCTACATAGGTGACAGCTAAGCGTTTCTTAAAAATTGCATGCAAAATAATTTATATTAAGGCAATAGAACTTCAAGAACATGTTCTTATCTCAAACGCCACTAAACTTGTAACTTAATGCACATGTGCAATACCGCTCTGTCATTTAGCCGTCTCCATCACGGAGCATCCCGGTAAGAATTCACCGCAGAGGGTCGACTGAATTACACCCGCGAGAAAAGGGAACCTCCGTTCTTAATTTAGAACACCTAAGCGGAGGGAACAGAGAATCTTCTATCTCTCTTCCTCTACAATCAGCATCTCTATGGAACTTCCGGTTCAACAGTATTTTAAACGTCTCCATGCCTCAAAGACACTATACACTAAAAATACCCATGGTTTCTCAAGAAATTAGGACCCAGGTTCTATTGGCAAGTTGGCAGTGAGCCGTGCCATCTTAAAAAATGTATACAAAGCACATGCAAGTGTTATTGATAGATACTTAAATAACATTAAATAAGCTTACATCTCCAAGAATTGCTTAAAGAGAAAACTGCTCAAAAATTTCTTTTCTTTACAAAAATCAGGAAAAATAGAGGAGCTGGCTGTAACATTAAAAATGATTTAAATACGTAACTAATGGTCATTTTTAAAAACAATTAACTTCGCCGCGGTCTTTACTTCAATAAACCTCACCCACACTACTCTTGCTTTATGGTGAATTCAACTTTCATGGCCATTCTTCTGTTCCCTTACAAAACTTCAAAGCTTTATTTTTGATATTTGACATGCTGGAAATGATTCTTTTGCTTTCAAAGTAGCGCTGCATAAATGATCACACTTGTCACGCAGTTGCTATATACAACCGATTTTCTTGCAGTAAACGATGTAAAACCGATAAGCAATCGATTTTTCTAACGGTGCGAGGAAAACATTTCTTATGTGTTAGTTAATGTAACATTGACACGGAAAGGAAGAAGATTACATGCAATTCACGTATGATACAGCATCAAAGCTTAAAGCATTAAAAGGTGCAAAACAAAGCATTTGAATTTTCATGGCAAAAAGTTAGATATGTAAGGCAACTCACGATAAAGTTGAGGCTGCATTATGCGGATGCTAAACGTAAATAACCATTAAGGTAGCATTTTAACTTAGTTTTTTTAAGTCATGCCTAATTCAACTTCCGAGCCAGGTCTGCTGATTCTTAAAAATTTCAACAAGTAGGGAAAAATGCGAAGTATTCATTTGTCAGTTTAAAATGTCCTAAATGTTGAAATGTGAGGAAACATTTACGTTTAGGAAATCTGTTTCGAAGCTATTTCCATATTTCAAAATCAAATCCTTTGTAATCAATTCCGGAGACTGAAAAGATGACTATGAGAATCTCATAATTAAGAATAGTTTTCCACAAAAAGCTACTTGCATTGAGAATTCCATGTAAAGATTGTTTTCCTCCATTTGCTTTTGGAATTTCTCCTTTTACTAGAAAGCTAGCTTTCTTACTGAAAAACTCGTGTTAATTAAACTTAAGTAAATTTCCTAATTAGAATCGAGAGAAAAATTTGTTTAAGATTGGTTTACTCAGTCTTAAGCGTTTTACAGATATTTTGGGCTCACAAGCTAAATAAAAATTTTAAATGGCCCTTTCTAATAGCATGTTGTACAAACCTGATGTTATTTATTGTGCATTTAACTCATGTCATTTGTAATAAAATTAACTGATAACACTTTGCAACAGTAACGTAATTCAATAAAACCATCGTTAGGTAGCGAGTGAATTGTAATTAAGTATCGAAGTACGTAAATTAAAATATAACGCTATCTTTTAATTAGAATAATGATTCAACCCTTTAAATTAAATATCAGTTATAGATAGATATATCACAACTCACATAAATTAGATGTTTTACAAATTAAATCAAACCGAAATATTGCTAAGAAAAAATAAAAGTTTAAATTATAATGATGTACTTATGCTGATTTTAAATCTCAAATTTAAATCATTAGCTGCTTTAAGTGCAAACATAAATTAAAGATATTATTGAACATGGAATATCAGTAATCTGAGGACTGTAACTTGTGAAGCCGTATGAAAGTCTCTTAGAATGGTAGCATTTCCCAGGAAATATCGGTAATAAATTCCCTGCAGTGTAATGTAATGTTGATGAAAATGGAAACGTTAAGTTATAGCTGTTTCTGACATCACATAATAGGCACTTCGATGTAGAACAACCTTATGCTAGCCATTTTCTAATATGCAATTCATTTCTTGTTTAAAATAGTTCATATTCAAAGCTTAATTTTATCTTAATTTCAAATCTTATTTTTATTTGTAAAAGAACTTTGCCTACTTATTGAAACTCTGCACGACTTTTTAAGTGCATATTCCCTTATAAGCATATACTCAAAAAATCTGATGTGTACACCACATGACTTCCTTGTACGGAATATTAAATTATACGCATACGCATTTTTTCTTGCATTTTATTTAAACGTATTAGATTGAAGTAAACCTACTTCGCCGACAGCGCATAAACCACAATAGAATAAATGCATTCTTTAAAATTCACTTTGTTTACCATAGTGACACACTGGCGCTAGGTTTACTTAACAGTATTATATTTCATTCATACTATAACTCAGAATGCACAAAATGTATATCATTTAAAGAATTATCTAATCGTTGCCACATGTTCTATTCAAATACTATAATAAAGCTAGAACTATGTATAAAGAAATTAAGCAAAACAAAACAAAAACAGAAACAGTTTTTCACAGATGATTGAGTATTTCTCATTTAATTAATTCAGTTCTCACTTCGCGAGAAAGCAAAAATACATAAAAACTCAAAATATGTATATTAAAAAATTACGAAGTAAATCTCAAACGCTTATTTCCTCGAAAAAATTCCAGAAAGAATTAAGCATGATTTAATTGGCAATATAAATGAATGCGTTATCTTTGTTATTGCGAAGCTAAGTTTTCTCTAGATTGGCAACAAATTCTACTAGTCTGTCCTGTTTCAAATGTAAACATCAATGGCCGCCATTAAAAACATGGCAAAAATATTAGGCTTAGCGGCAATTAAACAACTTTTAAAACTGCTGATAATTCTAAAAATATTGCACACAGATTTACTAAAGGCATAAAATCCTTAACCGGAAGATAAAAACAACATAATTCAATCATTTTTAAAACAAAAAATGTGCAATTTACAAACATATAAGTAAGTAAGAAACTGAGATCACTGAGCCGGGTAATAGAGTGGATTTTATATACATAAATATATTTATATACGTTTGGTGCTGCCGATTGCAACCAAAATACGAGGTGCACATCTACATGTTATTGCCAGTGGCAGGAAAGGTGGGACTCAGCACCCACGGGTAGAAGGACCTACTCTTTTTTTCCAAAAGTGGGAACTGTAGCAAAAGTCACGAACGGTGCACAGACCCACTTTTTTTCTGGACATGGACCATTCCCTACCTATTTAAAGAGGTTCCACTTAAGCGGAACAGAATTCTGTGAATGTGGAGAGGTAGGTGATCCAGATCACTATCTCTTCCATTGTGCATCCACCAAACCTTATCACCTGAGGAGACCAAGTGATTTATTTTGGCCACAATGGGCAGAAACAATCTGCAAGAATAGTATTGCTAAACGCAAATTGAATGAGGTATTAAAGTACTGTGCACAGAGTCATGCAGGCATAAACAGAGCGAACACTTCAGAATAATTGACAATTACTGCACACATCTGTACCTTGTACGCTCACAATTAAAGGATCATCTTAGGGTAAAAGACTTCCTCGTGAATGACATAACATTAGCTTTTATTACCATTGCAGAACCTTGAACTGTTCAATGTTTGTGTGATTTAACCACATTGGTGCATAGATTCTTAATTTTTCATTGTACACATCTTTGTGACTTTTAGATTACCCTACAATTAATAAGTCTCATAACTGAAGAATCATTAAAACGTATTGTAAAAATTACTAGTTATATAACTGTATCATTGTTGAATTGTTTCTATTCCATCATTGGCAGAATTATATTTATTTATTTACTCAGCATAGATGGAGGCATAACCTATTGTTACCTCCCCCCCCCAAAAAAAGGATTTTTTTTTTTTTTTTTTTTTTTTTTTTTTTTTT